CCCCAAAACCCCAAAACCCCAAAACCCCTCTTTATGGTCTAAATATTGAAAATTGTATATAATTAAACTTATTCGGATGATGAAGCATTAATCCTTCATTGAGCTTAGAGGGAATTCATGAGCTATCACTGGATGCTAATATAGTTTGGAGATTGTTCTTGATGATGAAATGCTGATACCTCGAAGAGATCTTTGAAACTTAGAATTTAATAAGGATTTTTAGGATAATTTGGGACAATTCTGTAGCTTTGCTTTTAGAAGTATGCTTTGAGTCAATTACTGGAGAGATATATAGCTTCATTCTTGCATAAAACATAAGTAAAGCTAGTTATACTTACTCTCTTTGTTAAACTCAAAATCATTGGTAGTATACTAAAGAAAATAAGATCCTTATTTTACATCAAATAAGGATTGTTATTAGGAATTTTCTTTAAAGGAATCTTAAATTTGTGAGAAGGCTCTTTACAATACATTTTCACAACAAATTTGACTAAAAATAGCCTGACCAAATTAACTTCGAATTTTATATCCTTAAGGAGCATCGACCAAAACGGCATGAAGGATCATACTTCATCTTCCTTTTTTAAGTCTGTGTCCTAAATTAAAAGTAAATGTCAAACTTAAACTCTGAGTACTTGCTAGATCTTGTAATCCTTCTAAAATTTGATAAACTCTTCTTATCTCAGAGTGAAGGCTATAGGCACAAGATATATATCGGGCAAATGTATTCCTGAGACTCCTATCTAAATCTGGTTTCATCAGTGCAAATAGTCTATCATTTATGTAACTTAATAGTTATTGCTCATTACCTAGAAATGCTTTCTCTAGTGATGTACAGATCTTTCTTTTATGGCAAATCTTTCATTCCATATTTTTCTTTGTGATTATTTCTATGGTAGCACTTTTTAAAGGAGTCATCTAAATCGTTAGGCAGGTGGTTGCTTTCATCTAAGCTAAATCTATATCTAAACTAGTATCTAAGCTAATTTTTCGTTTTGAAGTTGAACAGCCCTGAGGGCTCTGCCAAAAATTGGGTCCCGGCAATGCCGTTACCACTAACTAGAATAGTTTTCAAATAGCAATCATCGCGCATCCGTTTGAACGTCATTTGCTGCGATTTTACCCCTGCTAAAAGGACAAAGTTCTAAGTGAGCATTGGCTTATATAGGGCACTGATGGCGAATTTTTAAAATTGGGCTTTCAATTCGCCATTATTCAGAAGGGGTTTTGGGGTTTTGGGGTTTTGGGGTTTTGGGGTTTTGGGGTTTTGGGG